ATTATTCTCTCTGTCAATTTAAACAATTATCTAATATCATTATAATGAGAATCTGTACATGTTTACCCCACTTTGAAAGTACATACTTCAAACAAATTTATTGTACACTCTATTCGATTGAATCTTGGTGATACAGGAATTTCATATGATGCAAATAGGTCATTTCGAAATATTGGGGGTGAAATTAATCAGTGGTCTATTAATGAAGCCGAGCATTCTTGAGCAATAGCTTGAGCAAGCTATTGCGTTGCGGTTTTGTAAACTTTCCAGTGAAAATCTCACAAGGGATTGTTACTTAAATATGTTCATGTCATTTTTATAATAAATGGATTTTATAAAATAGTTGAAGCATCAACTTACTTGCTTATCGGTGGTAGCATTCCCCCTAAAATATCAAACATGATTTAAATAACATCATTAATTGACTATTCAAATTGTCCAGCAAAACAAAAATTAACTTGAATCAATTTCAAACATATATCTTTCTATTCATATTGAATTTCATCGGTAGTACTTTAGAATAACGTACTTCAAACATACCGGTCAAATCTCCATTTTCTATGAAAATTCCCTGCCAACCAAAAGGGAATGAGCATTGTATATGCCCGTTGGGCCAAAGTCCATTATATTTTGGATGCAGAACCGATCTCTAGGGGAATTTATTTTGAATAGCCGCCTATCACTTGACTACAGCCTCAGATAATAGCGATATTCAATGCATAAACATGAACATGTCTGAATGGTCCACCCTCACATTTCCAGTAGGGGTGGATTTATCACGAAAATAATTCGTGGTGAATTTGTCATCGTTCGTTGAAGGGGACGACGTGGCGTATAAATTGAGTTGTTTGAGTGTTTCAATTCACAAAGAAGGAATTACTTTCGCAGTGTTATGTTTGGATTAGATCTGTTGAAGAGGGTGTAAAGTAAAACAACCAGATCAAGATGACCGTTCAATGCAAGACATTTCTATCATCAAACTAATAAAACTCAAAATCTTTGTTCAAATAAAATTAAACAATATATATTTTTTTTGGATAGGCAGTGAATTTAGAAAGATAATTATTATTGGAGAGATTTCTCCAAAAGGCAATTTATCTATATTTTGGAATTATATATTCTCACAGCTTCGAACTGTAAGATATCAATTGAGAAAGTAACTTGCTTGGATCCAGAAAGAGAATAATTAATAAGCATATTTATATAAATCTGTGGATAATTCATTTGAATTCACAGATTTTGAAAAAAATATTAGTAATTCTGTTCATTGCCGAAAACAGTTTTCCAAATCAATCGCTCAGAGATTGTTGAAGACCCTAAATATTTGTGCATAAAAATTGTGGTTCCTCTTATGGATTAATTTGTCAAACCCGATTACGTTATTATCTATTGAGAGGTAATTGGAACTGTTTCTGATACGTTTAAAAACGTTTAAAACTACATCACATCTACTCGATGATCTGAAAGATTCATCCAGAATTGGGTCATGCCACCAAAATAAACATGATCTGCAACTCAAAGAAGATATTTCCATAGTAATTTAAATTATAAGAAACACCATTTCCAAGCTGAGTTTAGATTTTGATTTTCAGAAAAATATTTATTCTAGGAATAGAAAGAGAACTAACAAGATGTTTATCCTTTCAGAACGTTTTACAACTTTTTTAAAGCTTTTCCTGCAAAACTATTTATTTTATTGGAAACTGTTGGTCGGAATCTAAAATAATAACAAACTCCATTGACGTAAATATAAAATTGTTATACCGTAGTATAAAGATAAAAGGAACCGGTTCAAAGATTCTGTTATCGTCATCAGGGGTATTTATTGTATCATCAACATTGTTACGAAATCTCAATTGATATGTTATTTGCATGCTGCATTTCCTCATCTTTCGGGGAAATTAATCACCTCGCCTTTATGCATACCCCAATAACGATCGTTTGGCTAGGGGGCTGTGCATTTCTAGAAACAGCACGTGTCTCGCCAAAACACGTCGTGCAGACAGAGCATATGCTTTTCATTTGTTCGGTAGAATGCCGGATGTAATTGTTTCATTCTTTTCGAAGAATATTTGTAATGGGATGTGGCCTCTGAGAGAAATGTGAGAGTTTTTAGGCACAAAATGTTTTTTTTTTAATTTTCATCAACTAGTTTGTGACTAGGTTGTGCAAAAAAATTTAATTGCTTTTCTGAGAGGGTGGTGCCAAACTGAGGAAACTTAATATAGTAGGTCAATTAGAGCACGGTGTCTATTTCTTCATTGTCTACGTCTAGCTCAATTATAGACGAACCATCAGGCATAAAAATCTATCAACAAATCCGGAAAATAGCCTTTTTAGTCACCATAGAAAAACCACATTCAAATAAACCCAGAGAGTATTTTTTAGATAAGTACATTTATTTGACTATTTTTCACTGGATTTGCAGCATGTTAACTTTGAAAATATTACTAAGCATAGTGAGACGTGTAATATATCGAGAAATGAAAAGCTTCTCTCATTCCGTTGATATCCAAAAAGGCATAAAAATATGAATATACATACACAAAAAATAAATACTAGTTTATTAGTGTGAATATCGGAGGCGAATCAACTTTTTTTTAATTATCGTGTATTTCACACACAGTTAATACACATAATTGGTTTAACACACTGACCATCATTAATGAATATTTAGGTATAATTTTCATCTATATAGCACCCCTGTTCTCTACTTCCCGAGATTTCATTTGATTCATAGAAAGCAAAAACATTTCATTCGGGTATTAGGGTCGGTATACTTGAAAAATTAATTGTATATTAGGAAAACTTTGAATGAGTTTCATATGACATATTTTAGCCCGTAAAACATATTTTTGTTTCTATTTGAATAAACTTTCTGTTTCGAAAAAATAGGTAGGTACTCAAAGTTTTCATTAGTGAATTATATTTAACCCTCTAGTAAAGTTTCTCCACAAGTGAAATTGATATTGAGGCGTGTTTCTTTGACACCTTTGACAAAAATAATCAGCCGTTTTGGTCTGGAGAATGCCACAAATAATAGATCTCGTTTCCCCTCTATATGCTTGAAGCTACCTGAGGATTTGGTAATTTAATACAGCCATACTTCTAAAGGATCTAAGCTACATGCACTTATGCACGTGAATTTGTATCCGGTTTTATGTACCGGATATAAGGTGCGTAACTGCCGCCCTGCTCTGCTGAACGTTTTCATGAGTATCTTGGTTGATATTAAAACTATTATTCAATTAGCATATTTCGATAAAAAAGTTCGTTATATAATATGGTCGATGAAGATCGATCTTGTTGCATTCAAAGAGAAGAACTATATATTATTATTATTAATATTCGTTTTGGCTCGCTCGCTTCTAGGCAGTTTTCAAGTTATCTTTCAGTTTTAGTTTATTCGATCATCAACTTCAGGATACAAACAGAACAAATCCATAAAGGTATAATTCTTAACTGTTTAAAAAAATTAAATACTCAATAAATCAATTCACAATGAGCTAGAGATTTAATCATATTTCTATGAAGATGAAAAAAATGTCTGTTCTCCTTGAGCCAAATGTGTTTGGCTCACGGAGAACCAACTTTCAAAGTCGAAACTTGTGTTAACTAAGGATTAACGAGGTCTTATCTTTAACGTGCGTCCCTAATTGATAATTACCAGTTGCTTTATAGTTCAGATATCTATTGAAATCATTTTGTATCTCTAGTCTCACTTGATGTGTATTTTGGTATCACAATTTACCCTAAGATCTTTGACATAATCGTTTCATAACAATTTCATTATTTATTTAATAATCTGATTTCACCAAAAAATATTTCTGGAGAATGATGTTGGCAAACCATTAAGTTATTTCGATCGTGTTTTGTATTTTTTACAGGCCGCTCTAAATACTCCCCGTCTATAAAATACCAGTATTCCAATTTATCCATCAATTATTGAAAAAAAACCGGGGTAACTCGGGAAGAACAGTATACACCTTGAATTGTTGAAAGGGGCGCAGAAATGTACAAAAAACTGTTTATAAATTTCTCCCATATGATCAAAAACTATTAGAAAAAATCAAGATCTCAGGTTTATATCACCGGTTATTTTTGTTTCCTGTACCTCGTTTTCTACCTGAACTTTTCCCCCTCTGTACAGCTGTGCCCGCTCCCTAACATATTGTCGATGGAAACACCACCTGGTTTACAATAAAGTAAGGGAAGACCGTCCCTACCTCTCAGCCGTGCAGATAAACTGCACATGGTTAACGGCATATGTCCTACCTTAGGAATGAATAGTATTTTTAGGAGATTCGCAAGGGCATCTGTTTCTTATAATGACAGCATAAGTGCAGTAGGATTTTGCTGACGGCGCCTCACGTAATGCTTGCACTGCATACAATTTGTTTTATTTTCGGAACTTACTCGATTTCACTGAATTCAGACGTTCACTTAGGAGTTTCACTGCAATGCAACATGAGATAAATCTCAGATTCTAATGCAGAAACTTCATATTGTAGAGTTTTTTTAATAAAATCCACTAGGTAAAAATGTATAACTTAACATCAGATTATCTGAAGGTATATTCTGGAGTACCCCAGGGAACATACTGTGGACCTTTTTTAAACCGATAATCAGTGACATTGTAGATTGTTCACTGACGATTTCTTTGTTGCCAAGATAATGGATGTATGTCCATTTTTATTACTCATTTTCTTGTTCTGATTAAAAGATTTAAAAGGTCTTGGCATTCACTTGTAACAAAATTGTCTATCAGTAATTATGTACCCAGAAAAAATATCCGTTCTCGGTAATATCCTTTGCCTGTGGTAGTTGACTGTCTTGAAATTCTCAGTTATATTGCTTCCAGTGTGAAAAAGTGACAATAACTACTACAAATAAAACGCATCTACTCTCTAAACACTACAGCTTCACTGGTTAAAAGTTTCAATTCAACTTTAAAACATCTTAATTTTTTATCTCTTATTAAATTTATTTTTTTGTTACAGCCTCTCGTTCGTCTTCGAATGGTGGTGGTACCAATAATCTGCCTCCTCTGTTGTTTCACAATATACATGGTGAAAACATAAGGATCTCAAGAGATGGAACCGTTGCTAAGAGAGTGGAAAGCTTTTGCAAAGGAATTGCGTTCAGTTCTAGGCCCGTCAAAGTCAATGAAAAGGTAAGGTTTTTCTGTGATCTTTCTCAAGATTTGATTTTCTCCCATCTACAAATTTGAAATTGAAGGTTAAAGATTAATTTTATTTTCAGGTGTGCATAAAATTCTTGGAGATTTCCAACAATTGGTCGGGAGTCATCAGATTTGGCTTCACCTACAATGATCCAACTAGTCTTCGATATGGGTTACCGAAATATGCTTGTCCAGATCTCACCAATAAGCCCGGTTATTGGGCTAAAGCTCTTCCAGAGCGGTTCTGCAGCCAAGGAACCATACTATTCTATTACGTTACTTCGGCTGGAGACGTCCATTTCGGCATCAATGGTGAAGAAAAAGGGATATTTTTCAGCAGTGTAGAAACAAGAGGACCCTTGTGGTGTCTGATTGACGTCTACGGCAATTCAACCGCTATCGAGTTTGTCGATATCAGGCATCAGCTGAATAACTCTTCAAGGTACAGTGGGACAACCAATTGCGAAAATGTTCCAAGAGATGATCCTGTTGAGAGAATAACGTACCCCATGCAGCAGATGGCAATTCAAACCAATGAGGAAATGTCTCTACCTTTACTTCGTTACCAACCACCTCAACTCAATTACCAGGCAATGCCACTGCACAGAACCAGAGGAAAAAATGTTAGATTCATGAGCAACAATCGTAGTGTGGCTTTCCGAAACGATACTGAGTTTTGCCAGGGTTACGTTTTCACATCCAGGCCGTTGCAGATAGGAGAAAGGATTGTCGTACAACTTTTGGGTACAGAACCCATGTTCCAGGGGTGCTTAGGTTTAGGTTTGACGTCTTGTGACCCCGCAACACTAACCCCAGCCGATTTACCTGATGATTCCAATTTCCTTCTCGATCGGCCGGAGTATTGGGTATTGAGCAGAGATTTTGCGAGGAACTTGAATAAGGGAGACGAAATCAGCTTTTTCATTTCCCAGAATGGCGAAGTAAAAATCAGCCGGAATGGTGGAGCGCCTCTAGTTGTCATTCACGTGGATCAGTCATTGAGGTTGTGGGCATTTTTCGACATATATGGCTCTACACAACGGATTCGAGTTGTGAGCAGCCCTAGTCTCATGTCCCCTTCTAGAAATCCAGAAAGACGAATAATCACTCCCACAACAACAGAATCTATGAACAGTATTAACAGTCAATCGGAAATACGTAGGAACTCTGCAATGCAACAGTCGAATTCACGGTTATGTTGTGTTGCACCTGCCGATATCCAAGTACAACCCAGCGCCAATGGAGGAACCGTTCTCTCCGTCATTCTTCCTCCTACTCACTCAAATATTATCAACACAGCAGCACCCGTAGTACAAGGTAATCTTCATCAGCACCACGCCTCGCAGACTTCCGTCAACAGTCATCCTAGTCAACATGTCAGTTATCCAGGTCATTCGAACCATCCATCACCAGTCACTCCAGTAGCTGCTAATGTTATGGCTCCGGTACCATCCTCCAGCATACCAACTGGAACAATGATCTCAACCTGTAGCAGTAATTATGTAGAGGTGAGTTTCAGGCCATCACTGTTTTTTTCTTATCCAATACTTTTAAATCTGTCCCTAACATCTTATTGTGAAAGTTGTATAATAGTAGAAGCATTTTTCTTGATTTTAAAATAAATCCGCATATTTCAAACTTAGCTGACTGTTATCATAAAAATATATTATGATGTTCTTGCTGACAGTGTTCTTTTGTTTCAGCCCATCTCGGATTCGAGCAGCTACTCGACCCCGTTGTCTTGGGCCGAACAGAACGGGGCCATACTGGGAGCAGGAGCAGAATGCACAATCTGCTATGAACACCCAATTGATGCAGTGTTATATATGTGCGGTCATATGTGTATGTGTTATGAATGCGCCCTGCAGCAATGGCGAGGCAAGGGAGGTGGTCATTGCCCTTTGTGTAGGGCAGTTATAAGGGACGTTATTCGCACTTATAAATCGTAGTAATTTTTCCTTTCCTTCCCTTTGTAAAATTTTGTTGCATTAGATTTTGAACACTTCAAAAATCAAGTTTCCACTTGGATGTACAACTTAGAAATGAGTTGTATTTTTTCAGATCTTGTGTCTTGATTAAAAGTGGTTGTTGAATGTAAAACTTGTCCGGGTATGAATGGCAAGGTTGTCTAAATGTGTCTCAAGTTGTCGTGTGCTTCCAAAATAAAACTACGAACTTTACTGCCTAGAGCAAGGAATTTTAAGGTATATTCAAAGAATAATTTTCGATACAACATTTCTGTTTAGATTAAAAAACTTCTCATCATTCTTTCTGACTATCGAATAATTAATGAGTGATTTTTGTAATATTTTTGGAGTATTTTCTCCTTCCACAGATGGAAGAAAATAATAATTTCAACCTGTAGTTCACTCGATAAGTTACTATGAAAACAGAAAAATACTGTTGCAAACAAAAAAAATGTCCCATTTATCAACAACTGCTCCTGACTGTCAAAAAGGAAGTTAATCACTTCTTGTTTCAACATTTCTGAGACAAGAATCTGTCTATGTCATAAAACATATATGTTGAATTCGTTGTTGTAACGGAGACCAAGTTAACGAAGGCTGAGACAGAAATACGCAGGTTGACTTCTCAAAAACGGGGATCAACCAGTCAGAAAATTGTCGTATTTATAAATTTTGTCTACAAATAAAATGAAGGATTGGAATGTTTTCAAATACCTAACTTTCTTGAAATGGCTAACGTTGGAAAATAATTCCTGTCCATTCTCAAAACTTACTAAAATATTGTGGGAAAATATGTATATTTACTTTCTCAAATCTTTGCGATTTTAAGATAGAAAAGTATAAAAAAGGGTCCAATAATTTATTTCAATTATAGCCAAAATTTATGAATATAACAAGTTGAAGACTAATTAGACTCCACAAAAGATTTTCAACACGAAATGGCAGATGCCTTCGTGAACAAAACTCCGTTGAAAGCAAGAGGCAGGTGTGAAGGTTCATTCCGTGTGGAAGCCCCGCACTTGCAGGGGAGAGTTTTCCTCACAACCCTGGTTAAAACGTATGGAAAAAATCATTGCAATTTTCTCAATTCCTTTGAAATATTTATTTAGCTGGCATCAACAGATTCACAATTTTAATATATTTGTCTGTGGAAGATGAAATATCGATAAAAGGGCACAGAAACAATGAATATCAGAAAAGACTAAGATATATCTAGGACTGAAATTGAGAATTGTTCTTTGAGCTTACCTTGATTTCAAAAAGACTGAATAATTGTTAATATGATGGAGTATATTTTTGTCGACTTGTTTGTTTTTCGTTTCTAGACAAATAATATAACCAAAGAGCTGTATTCCGAAATCTCCTCGGAGTTTTACAGCATTCTTTTCGCGACATGAAAATTAGTCATTCTGTCGTGTTCTCCACAAAAATCAGTGGTTAGTCAATCTGCGCCTGCGCAGTTTAAACTTATTTATTTATTATATATTTTTAAGAAAATATTATGACTTTATTTGGAATGTCTTTGGGTTTAGAGGCAGAAAATATTGTAAATATAAGGTTATTGATTTTGCTAAAAAACCCAAAGAAAACGTTATCATTATAAAATTGTTACTGTTTAACTATATCCTGTTTTGTGTAAAAGGAGTTTCGAGTAATACATTCCTAAACTTACTGGCCAGTTGTGGGTTATACTAAATGTTACTCGTTTGATAAAAAACAGTTGAAGTTTATCAAAACTTCAACTGGTTTTTGAGACGGTGCTTAATCTTTTGTATATTAGAATTTCTAGTCATATAAGAATGTACTGATTTAGTTCAATCACTATTATAGCCCAGAATAAAACTTTATCCATTATGAAATAAGAGAGCTTATTTTTCCTATTCCCCAGTCATTTATGCAGTCTCACAGACTATGCAGTCTCACAGACAACAAACCAAAGTTACAATTTTAACAAACTTGAATTAGGTACAGTGAGAAATTGGCATTTTGTCTGATGTATTATCTACATGTTTTCAAATTTTAACCAGACAATACTTTTCTTGAAATATTCATAAATGAGAAAAAAAATACTTTTGGACAGGGCAAGTATCACAATTTTTCATATATGGGAAAAATTAACAAATAAAAATAAAAATTGAAAGGGTAAATTTTCAGGAGAGATTAATTTTTGGGAAAGAAAGTTTTTGGACTTCTACTTCTCCATCTTGATACAAAAAATGTGGGAATCTTCCAAAGAAAGGAGGGAAACAATCAACTTCAAAAATTAACTCTACAAAGATGTGTAGAACATGCAAAGAAATAACTTTCAGACACAAACTGGAAAAAAAGCCCTTTCTAGAGTAGAAAATATGTTTTTCTTATAATTCACCGTTCATATACCTAAAAGTATTTGTTTCAAAAGTATTTTTTCATGTAATTCAATGTGTAATTATGTGAAAATAGCTGTTTCGAAATGGCTTTTTCTTGCAAGTTGTCTCTGGAAGTTACTTCTTTGCATGATCTACACATCTGTATCTGTATAGAGTTAATTTTTTAAATTGATTGCTTCCTTTCTTTCAAAGAAATCCAAAAACTTTCCCAAAAATAAAAACTATAATGAGCAAATCACGTTTCCAACAATGTCAAATATCCTAAATTATGCAAAGTTTTTCATTATTCTTTCGTGCCGCCTGTGAGGTGCTTGCCTAAGGCGCACTCCACGTTTAATCCGCCTAATGCAGTAATGAAAATAAGAATCCAATAATTTTTTAAAGGTTTTGCTCTGTATTTTATGTTCCGGTTCAAAACATAAAATAGTTTTCTGATTGATTCGGCCTACAGGATACACTACAGGAAAATCCTTTAAGCGCTCTAAGAGCGGTGCCTGTGCGAAAGTAGTGATTCAATCAATCAATCAAACATTTATTTAATCAGTTTTCCTTCACAATCGCATTAGACAAAAAAAAACATAACATCATCATAAAATACTGGCTGATTCAACAGGTCAAAGAAACATAAAAAAGATAAGAAAAGTAAATATAAAACATAAAACATAGATAAAAAAAAAGTTAATAAGCTACAATCAAATTAAGATTCAAGGAGAAACTCATCCATAGAGTAGTATGCTTATTGCAACAGAAAAATCTTGAGTCGCCTTTTGAAGATATTGATATGCACATGGGGTGATTCTTCGTTAGTGTCAATCTACTATAAGGTTGATGTAGTTGAGAGTTATTTCTGGTATAGCTGATAAGCTCCACTGTTCAAGACCATAGGAAATTACTGACTGAATTAAACTGTGGTATAAAAGCTTGAGAACATCAAGAGAGACTGTTTGTTTCAACAGACGAAGTAAATATATATGTATACTGAGCTTCAGTTTGACACTATCAATATGAAACTTCCAGGTAAGTTTATTATCAATATTAACAAATAAGAATTTAGTACAATTAACTTGATGTAAAGTTTCATTATTCAATCTAACCAAATCACTTTTATCAATTGTTGAATTTTTAGTAAAAAAGTTGAGTATTTGAGATTTAGCAACAGGCCACATTGGATTTAAATCGCCACATAAATGCAGTTTTCCAAATGAAAGAGTTCTTGAACAGTGAAGTTCGAGGTGTACTGAGTGAACCTCAAAACGATGAGCAGCCACAGTCCGTCGCGTATTTTTGATATATACCGCTCTTGATGGAATCAAATGTGGAAGTATCTATAGAAAAGAGACTAATCTCCATCTTTCCTTCAATCAGTTACATATTTCATTAAGTGTATGTTTGGTATAGAAAATTGCTGTTACATGCATCTTAGGAAATTTATATCTACAATCTAGTTATCAATTCCACTGCAACATATAAATTTTGTTGTTTTTTTTAGTAGGTACCTATTCATTTGGCTAATCACACTAGATGAATAATAGCAGTAGACAGACAGTCAAGTCAGAGATAGCTTAGAAAATATTATGTTACACAAATTATCCACAATATTTGTATAGTTGTATATCATCTAATTTGCTTTTAGTTGATTGCATTTTTTAAATAATACATTTTTCGTACTTTATTCTGACTGCGATTTCATTTCATGGTTCTTGAAAAAGATTAAAAAACACTAATTTGTTCAATGAAAATTCAAGCAGTAATTTTCCATTCACTTTTATTTTCAAATCGTTTGAAAAGTACAAACATTTTCTCAAAATGTGTAAAATTTTAACAATTCTATCTATCAATATCTCCAAATACTACATCGAGAGCAGCTAAAAGGAAGAACAATTCAGAAAAATAAATTATTTCAGGACAACTTATCTTACCAAGAATAGCCACTACGTCAGCAATCAACGTGTCTTTTCCTAAATGATTTATTCCTGCCAGATGAATGAAACTGGGAGGCCTGATTCGACACCTGTACGGTAACGACGATCCGTCAGATACAAGATAGACTCCAAATTCACCTGAGAACATATCATGTTATTTTAATCTATAAGTACTTATAATTCTTCATTGTATATTCACCTTTTGGGTGTTCGATGGATGTATATGTTGAACCAGGAGGTACTTGAAATCCTTGCGTGAATAATTTGAAGTGATTTATAAGGCTCTCCATATATGTCTAAACTTAAAATACATAAATGAGACATCGAAAGATTACATAAAAAAGTTCAATTTTCGAAGCATATCCAAAAAAATTCATATATAAGCGAGACGATCGAAAAGCATCAATAATTAGTGGATGTACGTCAGTTAAAAACAATACTCATTTTCTATATGTGGTGACAAGGCCGAGGGATGTGAAAATAATAATAACTGATTTCATTGACAAAATGTCGTACAAGATGTAGTAGGTATGAATAAAAGAATTCTTAAATGTTATACTACGCGGTAGGAGATCATGATGAAAAGAGAAATGAAAATTTCTATGTTTATTGTTCAAGTTTGAGAATGTCCATATAGGACGAAACTGCAATAGGTAACGTTAGCTACAAATAAAAGTGGTAAAAAACACAAAAATTTTCATTTCTCTTTTCATTCTGATCTTGTCATTTTAGTAACGCGATCAAAACTTGCTCTTCCATTGTGATTGTTGATTGGAACCATTACTTTTAAGGTACACTTGCTGATTAAAAACATATGACTTGCCTTGCCGATTCAGGCTTTCGACAAATGAAAACTTTATTGTTTGGGTAGCGTTACGTCTATAGTTGATTGAATATGTTTATTATGAGTATATATGTTTAAATGAGATAAATTCGTTGAAATAGTAGACTTCCAAATGGTTCTACAAAAGTCAGAAATGTATCTCATTGCACTTCACTGAGCCAATTTCTGTTGACTATTGACTGATGTTCATTAAATTTTTGTATATCTATTACAATTTAAAATTATAGGCATGCCTCAGTTCTGTATTTTGTGACTTAAAGTGACGTCAAGGTAACACAATAATCGAAATATGTACTTATATTATTGTTGAAGTTGCCATTGCCTTTAAAGTCTATCCCTGAGTAGGAGAAGGCTTTAAAGGCACCTCACCACAATATATCTAATAGCATTCTACTGTGACAGTACCGCGTACCGCTTGAGAAATAAAATCACAAAAAGTTCACAATGGAAATATGCAACACGTAAAACATCGTCACGTTAGATCTGCGGTGTTTGAGTGACGTAAATGCCAAAACCTGAATCTTGCATTCTTTTTTTAGTTGTAAGAGTCAATATTCTCTTTTTAATGTGATGTCACTCGTTCTGATCTGTTATTCTGAAAGGCAGTCCCGTCTTCAATATTTTTGCCTGTATGGCTGGTTCTATATGAAGTTGCATTTCAAATCCTTGGAATTTTTCTGCGCGTATAGGTGTAAAAACTTTGCATTTCTTTTATATTTCATTCCGAAAAATATCGCTTCCCTTTGTCGGTTGAACAGTCAAAACCTTGCTGTAAACAGTTTTTTGAACATTAGCAGGTTAAATCTACTTGCATAAATTGTTATTAATGATTTATAGTGGTCGCCTGGTCAAATATAATAGGAAAATAGAAGTCATGATTTTATATTAATTTTTAATCATTGAAATCGTCTAGACATGTATATTTCCATTAAGATTTGGCAGGTGCCAATCGTCAAATTTAATAGTCGTAGCCATAAAAATTCAGAGCCACCATTTGAGAAAACAATAACATCATTCCAGTTAAAGTACCTGAATCCACTAGTTTTATTTCCCTCAAAGCCTCCAGAAAAAGTTTCATTGCATAGTACCTACTATGCGTTTTGTATTAAAGTCCCTTTAATTTTGATCAAAATGTTTAAAATAGTTCACAAAATAGTGGTTTAAGAATATATTCAAATGTGCAAGACAATGTTTCTTGTCGTATATCAAACTTTCATTCACAAGAATCAATAAATTTGAAAGCTGAGATTAGAGAATTGCATAAGGTATTGAAAATAAAAATTCTGAAACAATCAAGTAAGTTGACTGAAAAAACCAAATGGTATTGAAGATAATGAAATTAAATGACTCACAAAAAAATATAACAACTGTGGACAGGATATCGCTTGTTATATGATTCTCACAAAATGACTTTCTAAATTCCTAAGTACCTACTCAAAAGTTACTGGGAAGTGTTCACTGGGAAGATGCCTCTCAAAACAATGTCGAGTGCATTGATAATGACAATAACTTTTAACTCAACATATAAAAAAATAATCCATGGCCAAGCCAACCAGTTTCAATAGTGAAAAAAAGCCAAGAAAACTTTTTTCTTTAAAAGTTTACATTATTAATTGTTGAAATATACGAAATCAAGTATAAATAATATTTTGTATTTTTACTCACTTTCATTTCTGTCCTCTTTGGTGGAATTATTTTGTGATCATCTATTTTTATTTCGCCTACAGGCATTTTATTAATACACTGCTCAATAAGTCTACATGACTGTCGAATTTCCTGAACTCTTACCTTATATCTATAACAATACACAAAAAATGTAACCAAATTTATGCAACCAATATCTCGAGAAAATATTGACCTATCATAAATATCTCCATTGGTTCCGATGGGAATGTCAAAGTCTAGTTCATCATAAACTTCATAAGGCTGTGTTTTCCTTATATCCCACTTAATTCCAGAAGCTCTTAATAGGGGACCTCTGAAAATTCAGTAAATTGCATTTTCAGGTAGATATAGGTACTGGTAGGTACTGAAATTGAATGATAATTAGCTATATTTTCAGAAATATAATGGATAATACGAGCACTTTGGATATGAAGGTTTTCAAATATTGAAAATCAGTTTCTTCAAATTCCCAAAAAAATTAGTATACTTCGTATGCAAAATAATCAGATTAGAAGATACCTAAGTCGTGGCAATCGTTTTATTGGCATTATTACTCACCATGCCATGAAGTGGCTGTTTTAAGCAGATAAAAACGACCGACAAATAGAAGCTAACATTTCTAGGAGTCTTTGTTAATATGCAAAACATTTAGTGGCAAAATGAGACGATTCAAAAACGATTTGGGTTGAATAAACGCCCCTCTAGAAGAATATTACAGTTCTGGGGATTGGGAGAAGTACTTGTTTTTGGATGTACCATCAGATCTTTTATTTTGGCTTGGTGTTCAGTTACACGTGCCAAAAATATAAGCACGTGAATTTACAAAAAGATTTCTGCAAATAATCAGTGACCAAATCGGGTTGTTTCAAGTTGTAACGGTCTAAATTTACTTGTAAATATTGTAGATATTGTTCGTTTATTTACTATGGAATCGACAGAATTGCCATTTATTGATGACGAACTTTTCGTCACAGCTAGGGACACATCTGGTTTGTCAGTGTGCCCGACCTACATTTTCAAAGAAGTTGTTACGTTTCAATTTAGCACTAGATCAAACTGCTCTTATGTGACCTTTCAAAAAAGTATGCATATATAAATGAACACTACAAATGTATTCGTTTATGAAAAGACCAGACGTCTCTCCTAGTGATAATAACGTAACAATTGGATTTTACTAATAGTAATAGATGAATTCAAACACATTACTCACGTAAATCCAAAATTCAATGCATCATGTGCCGATATGACACCAATATCTTTAGTTCTTGCTATAAATAATCTGTTATTTGTAATTACATCCTCCATCTCATCGACCCTTTCAGGTATTTTACTCACAATTTCGTGAATATCGTGCAAGAGACCTAAAGGAATATCCTGAAAGAATTATATCATATAAAAAAAATTGCCTTCTGGTAGCTAATCTGAATGAAATTGAGGTCACAATAGGCGATACGATTACTTGTACTACTAATCATTATCACTTCCTCATTTAAGTGGATTCTATTGGCACCTGAATGTGATAATTGATGACTCTTCGGAAAGAAGAGATACTTCTGAATTTTGAATTTTTTACGATTCGATGAAATGTCCAAGACACGATTAAAGACTTCCTATTGTACGGAATGGGTCGAAACGTAGAACTATCAGGGAGTGCATTGACCCTAAAACAATTGCATAATCTTCAACTTTCTAAACAAGTATGTCATCCGGCGAATTTTTTCAACAGAAATAGGAGTCGATTATTATTTCATTGAAAAGAGATATCTCGAAATCTCTGCAACGACTGACTAGCGAGCTCCGTATTCACTTGTATTTATATTTGCAGAGGGTGGTCGGGCTGATGGTGGGGATGGCAGTGAGGATAGTGGTGGGGTGTCCATGCAAATGCTCACTTCTGATTGATCCGCACTTTTGCTGGGTCATTCTGATTAGTCTACGATGTTGACAGATGAGCTGCTGGTGGGATGTCGATCGGGTTCCACCAGCAGTAAACCTATCATAAAATTGGACCAACAAAAATAAAGTGGCAAAAACGGACCAGTCAGGAGTGGGCATCCGCATGGTTATCCCGCCACCATCCACACCACCATATCCATCATCACCCTACCACCTTCTAAAATTATAAATATATGAGTGAACTCGGAGCTCCATTCGACCATGGCAACGTGACTCCTGTCGAGAAATCCAATGTTCTTATATTTTTCTGTTATATCTCGAAGAGATTAAGGGCAACTATGCTTCCGAATAAAATTGCTGCCACAAATGCCGTGGTCTTTGTGACTGAGAAAAACGTTTTTATGTTGACTTGAGACTCGGACGGTTCGTCCACGGTTCGGAACTTTTTCCTGGCAATTTTAAAATATATAGGGCAGACGAAATTCTACTGCTAGTAATGGCACTAGAGGGGGTAGTGTAGGTACATGAAGACATTACGTCTTCTTCAGTTACTCTATCGAATTATAATTTACCACTACTCAATTTTATAGATAGTGTAGTTATGGAATTGACTTTTTCTAATAACAAGTTCTTCTTGGTATGTGTTTAAATTCTTCCTAAAACCGCATTAATTGAAATTAATAATTTCTGAAAAGCTCTAGAATCGCTGAACATTTTTTACAACCGTAAAATTCTGATAGTTGGACACTTTAACATACTCGAGTATGTATCCCATTTAGAAACTGATCGTAGTAGCCCACATTACATCGTTGTCGGAATTTTTTGGTCTGTCACAGAATCACTTTGTATTTAATGATATGAACAGATTTCTGGACTCAGTGTTTCACAATCACTTTTCTCACGTGGACATTGCGGGTGACAATTCGAAATATGATTTTCAGTTGTGTTTTCAATTTGACCACAACTAGGTTAGGTTAGGTTAGGTCTGAAGTGAGTGGGTCTATTCGACCCTCCACCGCAACACGCAAGGGTTTATTGTGGCTCACACATATTCACACTCGACCAAATTAACCCAGCTTCTTAACGAAGCTGATTAGTCTATATGATGAGGGGTCTTCCAGGTCAGATGGTGAGAGTACGGCTCTGTCAAACTCTAAAAACCTAATTCGGCATCCAGCGAGGCAGGCACAAAGTATATGCTCTGCTGTTTCATCATTTTCCAAACAGAGGCGACACACACTGTCTTCCGACAGTCCAAGTCTCTGCATATGATGATTCAAATGACAGTGACCTGTAAGAAGGCCTTTTAGGCATCGTAGTTCATCCCTACGGTAGTCCAACAATTGTTTGGTATCCGTACATACTCCTATGGAAAATGATACAATGTTTTTGATGGCTGCTTGATGAAATTTTCTATAAAATCCTAAAACAAATATCCAATGTGGTTTGATAGTGCAATAATCAGCAGGGCTAAAGCAAAATTCTGGTGTAGATATAAAAGAGAAAAAGTATTCACCCTTTTTATGAATTCAAACATCTCAAGGCGGAGATCTAAAGTGACACTGACAAAATTGATGTCAAAAACAAAGCGCGATAGCTTAAAATTACAATAAAATCAAATTATCTAAAGGAACAATTCGTTCAGGCCAGTCTCAACTAACCTACAGTGTATCTGTAGAGTAGGGAGGGTGAGTGTAAGCCCACAGCACTTAGGCCACATGTGACCCATTGTACATCCTCCCGAGGAGTTGTCCTCCTAGGTCATCGTCCATCCTGTCCTTTCCAGGAAGGTGGACTGGTCACTGGGAGACATCTCCTTTATAACGGCAGGTGTAGGCCAAGTCTCGCCGAACACACACTCTCTGAAGACTCACATTAAGTCGATGATTTCCCATAATTAACACCTTACAAAACTTTAACTAAAGTCAGAAACCATCAAATAACTCTCGCAAATCTTCGCCTCGGCCATACAAGGCCGAGGCGAAGACTTGCGATCTGGAAAACAAAAACCACCCTGCGATATGTGCGAGACCGAGACAGACCTCTCAGTAAAACACATATTAGTACAATGCAGAAAGGCTGGAGCATAACTTAGCCGAAAATCTCAAGGACATCTTAGGGGAAAGCTGTTATACACAACCACTTATCTCATTCTTAACCGACATAAAGATATTACATAAATTGTAGATTACTTTTGTAAAATACTACGTCAAACCGCTAACAACCTTGAAGGTTGATGGGGGTATTTTGTAAATGAAAAAAATCGATTTCGTTTCAGAGATAATTCCTCGAACAAGGCTGAAGCGAACGACAAACAACATATTTGTCGTTGCCCCATTAGCCAGTAAACGAGGTACTAACCAGTCGCATATCTAAATGACTCAATTCCTCGTATAAGGAAACATCGTCACATATTGTAAGGGGGCATAATGAAGACTGGCTGTAAATCAATAAAATGTTTTATGAAGATAAGCTGCTCAATATTTCTTCAGATATAATTGTTGTGAACATCGGTGCTTTTCAGCAAAATTATACATCATCCCCGTATTTTTTGATGATTAGACTATCAATAGATTATCGAATTTATATCACTCACCTGACTAACGCCACCAACTCTAAAATATCCAGCATGCATTCTGGCTCCGCAAGCTCGCTCGCATATCTCGTATAACTTTTCTCGTTCCTCGAAGAACCAAAAAAGAGGAGTGATTGCACCCACATCGAGCGCCAAAAAGGAAGTAGCTGCTAGATGATTCATCACTCTCATTATTTCAGAAAACAATGTTCGTATGTACTTTCCTGAAGTAGAACCATAAAAATAAAGTTGAGTTTTTCAGTTCATCGGCAAGTTCACCGATTGATCCGATGGATATGGGTACCACTCGAAACGTTAACGATTTCTATTACTTAGTTGAAGCAATCCATTGGAATTTTTCACCCGCCCTGTACTAGCCAAATAACTGACTTTTTTCAGGCAAACTGTAGATACCTATATTGTTAACATTTTCGTAAGATAGTGAAGATACCTGATAATTTTTTCGAATATAAAATACAACCGTTTTGTAACTCGCTGGTAATGTAGCTTCTTGTAGGTGAAATAATTTTTAAAGTATGTTACGTAGTTCATGAGTTTATCAATTACAAACAAAAAAACGTGTGCAATTCGGGACGCCCGACAGAAGTGATAATTTAAACTAATTTGAGTTGAACTATTTAATATTGAAATTGTTCAACTCGAGAAAAGTTTATGTTATTACTTTAATTTTATATATATTATTATTATTATCTTTTATTTATTATTTTGTGTATGTACATATGTTATAGTTACCATAAGCGAATTATTACTTTTGTAGGATTGAATAATGTACATACACAATATTAGAATAATCATTTTCAAGCCACGTTTCACATAATAAAAGAAAATTACGTGTTTTCTGGATAGATTTTCATAATACTGTCAAAAGTATATATCTGACGCACACTAAATACTGAGCGTCTGTCCGACGAGAAAGGAGGAGCAACGTTAACTTAAAACGCCTTGTCAACTTATTTTGTATGTTACAACAATAGTTGTCAGTATATAAATTTAAGTTTAAAGTTCGTTAACTTCAGGTCTGACAAATCGTTAGATTAACGGAAATGCATAAAATAACAGTTTTACATTCATTTCATGAGAAATTTCCTAATTTACCGCCTATATCTCAATAAACAATAAGCAAAATAGAGAAACAGTTTCGCGAGTTTGATCATGTGGGATAGATAAAAAGGCAGCTGCCAATTCAATGAGTGATGAACTCAAATTAAATGTCATGCTTGAGTTTGAGGAAAACTCACATACATCGAGTAGACAGACATCCACTACATTCAATGTTAGCCATACATCGATAGTAAACATATTAAAAGAAAATAAAATGCATCCTTATAAAATGATACCTACTCAGGAGCTCATGGAAGACGATTTTGATAGAAGAAATTAATTTTGTGAGCAAATGATAGACATGTTTTGGATAAAAATATCATTCAATTAGAAGACGTTATGTTTCCTGATGAGTGTAGTTTGTCTCTTAACGGTCATGCTAACTGGCAAAATTGCAGCTACTGGTCAACGGAAAATCCTACTGGATGAAAGAAGAAGACGCGCAATACCCTCAATAGGTTAATGTTTGGACATGGATCATTAGACCCTTTTTCATTGAGGACAACTTGAATGTCGATAATTATCTGGCACTACTTCAAAATCAAGCTTAGCAAATTTATAACCTGATCCAGGAAACCCTCAAGTTCCAGTGAATACGATATGGTTTCAGCAGGATGGAGCACCACCACATTACCAAGTTAATGTCCAGCAATACCTCGATACAACATTTCCCAATCGGTGGATAGGGATGCAAGGATCGATTGAATGGCCAACGCGATCACCTGATCTTTCATCATTAGATTCCTTTTTATGGCGATATGTGAAGAGTAATGTGTACAAAACTAAACCTTCAGATTTGAGTGTCTTAAAAGAACGAATAACGCTTGCGATTAGGTCGGTCACGTCTGATATGTTAAATAATGTTAGAAGACAGTTTTATTTGAGATTAGGATGTTGCCAAGACGTTCGCGGTGAACATTTAGAACATCTACTTCGTTAATATTCATCGTTCTTTTTCGTACTATACATTTCATTACGTTTTGTATTATATTTAAGTTTTTGAGTGTATTTTATCGAATTTTGATAACCACATGATTTTATTTATTTTATCTTAATTGTTCTAATACACTTGGAAGTGATAACATTTTTGAATAGAGAATGACGAGACATTTCAAACGATATATCACAAACCTATACTTCCCATTTTAAAAATTGGGGTTTGTACCTGTCGTTCTGAGGGAGTTGACGGTAGGGGTAGCATTTTTACGTTGAAGAATGTCAAATTAAAATTTACAATTAACGTGTTTCAGGATTTTTATTTGAAATATGTACAGTAACCGAAATAATGAATTTATTTCATTTTGTTTTCACACACTGTATAGAAAGATGAAACAATCCAAAATGAATTAAACGAATAAAAAAATCAATGAATCGATTTAGTAAAGATTTATTGAAAAAAGATTATACAGTCAATTACAGTCAAAGTTGAGATACTTATAGTTAAGGATGTGATGAATAAATATGAAACTATGATTTCACTTTCCAGAACATGAGCTGCATGCAAGTAACATCATCTTTATAAGTGTCCTATCTGTATATTACGATTCAAAGTGGTTTACGACAAATCTTCCAACGACCTTCAATACAGAAGACCATTATCATGAGGAAATACATGAGCAGTTGCGATGAACTATCTTTAAAGCCCGTAAGTTATTGTCCACGACGTGGCCAATTAGAATTGTCTCATCATGGATGAAATTCATCAATACTGTCTAATGTTTCTAGTATTCTTCATTGTCATATGTACAGTTATTACAGAAAATCGAGTAGACAATTTCTTAGTCAGGTATCACATATGAATCATATATTACACGTCCGTCAATTCAAGACCTCTTATTGTGTAGCACATTTCGCAATCAACACTATAAGCATCGTAATTTCCATTTGTTGAAGAATTTTGCTTCGATGTAGTGGAGATATAACCAGAATTACTTATTTCATTAGAAGGCCAACTTCAGACGCGAAAACGACTATCCGTACATTCTTCAGAGCCTTTTTCTTTAATGCAACATTCAACCTACTGTGTAGGTATATCCGAGACTGGCTTGAACGTTTAAAATTCATTTCTATATATTTGTTTACTGCCAGTCTTCAAGCATAGCCCACAGACTAATAAGAAAATTCATAAAAGAGTCGTTCATCATCATAGATCTTTTTAAATTGACCTCGATTATAGCAACATTTTTCGAAGGCACGCCGCCTTTTAAACTTGATTCAGATGAGTAACCCAGGCTTGCTAAGAAAACGCGACGGGCCAAATAGTTGGGAAGTAACCCTAAAAAAGAGAGAAAGAGAAAAAAAAAGAGAAATTGAACGAATAAGAAGTCCAACTTTTTGATTCCTTGACTTTCTACCATATATGGTGACAAACTGTCAGATTAGTGAGATAGAAAACACGATAACGTACTTTTTCTCTTTGGCCATATCTAATAGCTGTTCTTTTTGATTAGCACTCCTGGTTTGAAGGATGGCCACTTGCGTTCTCATTGTCATTACAATAAAAACAGCGTGTTCGTGGTGAAGGGCTAGCTAGTTCCACATTCAAGCGTACTGTTCATTGAAGAAAAACTTGTCAGGGATTTGCACATTCGGCTCTGCAGGGTTCGGTCACGTGTAAAAAATGGGCTTGAATTAGTGATGAATGGTCTTGAAACAAAATACTCCCCGTATATTCCCATCATGTTTACAAAGTCCTTCTTCAGTTCTTTATGGAAACTTCGGTTTTTTCTCTGAAAAATGTTAAATATCATCTTCAAAATCAAATCACACATAATGTATGTGTGATTTGATTTTGGTTGGAATTTGTTTTATCATATTATTGGAATTGAACAGTGCCCCAATTTTGATTCCCCAACTAGTGTTAGGTTAAAAAATAAACTCCCATCTACTTACCATTATAAAATCATTAACTGCAGCCAACTTTTCTTTATTAAATTTAAAAATCTAATTTAAATAAATAAATATTAAGATGATTTCTTTAGTGATACCACACATTTTTTCAACGAGTCCTTTAGACAGGGTATTTTTACAGATGTTTGGAAGGTTGCTAATATAATTCCAATTCCGAAAAAGAATGCACATTCAGTGACCTACGCCCTATCAGCATTCTACCCTCATTCTCTAAAATATTCGAGAAAAATGTTTCCTGTCAAATAAGAGCTGGGTTCCGCAAAAAACACGGAACACAGACTGCCCTCTTGAAAGTAATCGACGATCTTGCGAAATTCAGATATCAATCAAAAGTCACCATTTTAGTACTGCTTGATCATAGTAAAGCTTTCGATTTGGTTAATTTCGATTTACTCATCAGCAAGCTCAAGTTTATAGGATTCGATGACATTTCTCTTAAATGGACGACCAGCTTTCTGACAGGCCGATCACAGAGGGTCGAACTGGATGATTACTTATGGTCATTCCTAAAAGAAACAATCTCAGGTGTACCGCAGGGAAGTATTTTAGGACCCTTGATGTTTTCAGTGTTTGTTTTTGATTACCCCACTTTCTTATCACATTGTCAAGTACATCTATACGCAGATGTTATACAGTTATATTTGTCTTATAACACCGATACAGAAAGTTGCGTTACCAATATAAACACAGATTTGCACAAAACATTCCTATACTCGGAGGATCATGGACTGATAATCAATCCAAATAAAACTAGGGTCTCAAAGATAAATAGTAGAAACTCAGTATAACTTTAGGCTCACTCTCGATAACGCAGACATGTTCTGGGTAGACAGTGCTAAAAATCTTTGCGTAACCATTGGTAGCTCTTTGTCTTTCCATGAACATGTGACAATCATTTTCAAAGTATCATTCTTCAAACTCAAATTGCTATATAAATTCAAGTATCAGTTAGAAGAAATAAAACTCAGGTTAGTTAAAACTCTTAGCTACCCCCATATCGAGTAGTTGTTCGGTGTATTACAATTTTTTGCCGCAATAAAACAAACAGAAGTTACAACATATACAAAATGCTTGCATGCGATTCGTAAGCTGTATACCATATGGTGAACATATCACCCCATTCTTGTTGAAAATGAAGGAGGTGAATGTGAGGTACAAAGTCCAATATTTGATAAAAATGTTTTTAAGTTGCTTCAAACTAAAACACGTAATTTTTTATATAGTTTATTAAGCAGGCATTCTGAATTCTGACATACATATGGTCAATTTGAGAATTAACTCATTCAACATACCTAGGCACCGTACTTCCAAATTTCAAGGATGTTTTTCTTATATAACCCCTTCTTATCTGAATAAAATTTTACCCGTTTTAAATCATAATATTCATCAATTTAAGAAAGAAATAAAATCGCAGATGTTTACTGCTCAGTGCTAATTTAAAAAATTTAAAATTCAATGAATGATAGTGCAATGAAAATTTTTGAATTAACCAAAATAATGTTAAGATTATTGAAAGTTATAAGCAAGTATATGATGTATTATTTTTTTCTCTTCTCTCATTGTTATGATAGTAAAGAAGTATGTTTATTATTATTTTCTTATACTCACTGTATAATTTTTGGGAGGGGTGGAAGATAGCCTTTGGCTAACCTTTTTCCTTTTTGGCTTTTTTATAATAGTGGAAAACTTAACGGTAATAAGACATTTTTTGAATTAATAACTTTTTATAGAAGGATAAACCGTTTCGTTACCTAACGCGACAAACCTAACGTGGGCGAAATATCATCAATGAGATTTGCAAAACAGGTAAACGAGAGGCTGTAGTATAGGAGTGAATTGTTGGTGCTCTACCTTTTCGAAGAAAATATTGTTGAGTCAATTATATTTCGAAAATATATTGATGATGAGTCGAATTAAAATTCGGAAACTGTTTTCCAGTATTTAAAAAAAATCATTGGAAAAAAAGATTATGGAACCAATAGGGTCATTCCCAAGAAAGTGTGCCAAATAGTTGGCTATAATTTTTTTATAGCTTCAGTAGTAGGGGAAATAACGACGAATAGAGAGAAACTACTCCGGATATCGACATCTTCTCTGGAGCCAATTTTTTTCGTCACAAAGCATTCTATGAATTATACTGGAACATCTTTTTCATAACTATATTGCTTCAGGGTGAAACATACTGAAAGAAACCCTGAAACCCACCATATTTATTAACAATTGATATATTTATTAAAAGTGGTTAGGAATCACACGTTCAAAGCTAAGACCTCGTTAGTCCTTAGCTCGCACAAGTTTCTCAACTTCTGAGAGTTGTCGTTCGTATGGGGGCGACAGCTGATTAACGGAAAAACAGATTTAAACAGAAACAGAGTTGATGCAGAAACAAGAGCAATTGATTGAATGTGCAGATGAAAATGTTCCATTTCCTGATTATATCGTTTATACAATTAAATAATATATTGTGACTAACGCTTCTTGAGGAGATGGTATTCAGAAATATATTTCAAGTTAGTGTTATATCCTGTATGTTTTGATATTTTCTTGCCATTTTGTACCTGTTCAAACTTTATTGACAAGTGTACGCGATTACGACAATAAATCATACTCTTTTATCTATAATAAAGTATACATACCTCTTCTTGGAACTTCAATGCCAAGTAATTTTTCCACGGCCAGACAAAATGCGTGTTCATTACTCATGCACGACAGATAATCAAGACGATCAAAGTAAGGCATGGCTTGCATGTAAGTTTTGTATTCTATCAGTTTTTCGGTTCCTCTGTGTAGAAGACCTATGTGAGGATCTAGTCGCTTCACCACCTATAAAATTGATTTAAAATATCAGATTTCTTCAATACAAAATGAATGTTCCCACGATATTGCAACCATTACTGGATGACAAACATATGAAAACTACTCTTGAAATATTCCTTGAAAGACATTTCTCTCTGTATCTTTCGACAATTATCAAAGAAAATATCTATTCTCAATCGTGGCGTTTTTTGGCAGTGATTGTTTTAGATTTTTCGGGAGTTCAGAACGGAAAGAAAAATGTCAGATAGGTTAATGTTGTACAAAATATTTGATAATTATGAATTTCATTAGTTCGGACTTCCTGCCATTGTCTGATATTATATAAAATGATTTGAAATCCCTGGAAGAATTAATAAAAACAAACAAAGATAAAATCTCTCCTTTATGCAGAATTATCAGATCCTTCAATAGTTATTGCAATGAAAGTGAAAAACTGAGGTTGCCTTTCCTTAGATTTGAAAATTATGTGGCATCTATTTTTATTAATAATTTATCGGTTCTTCATATATAGGTATTGTTTTTTTTTTCATATTTGTTACTAGTGCACTGTATTTGGTGTTCATATTTTGCCTACTTACTGTCTTTTGTTTATATGTGAAATGAGGATACTTTTCGAATGTATTCTATTTGTATTGTGCAATAGTAGTGCAAAAAATGAATAAATAAATGAATAACGAATAAAATTAATCATTGGATTGGATCCATATCACATCCATGGTGAAGAAAGTATATGGAAAGAAGAATCAATTTCAATGTGGTGGTTTATCATCCTCAATGAATGAAAATACCTCATATAATTCGAATTCCAAGTAATACATACAAGAAGATGCAAATAAACAAATAATGAATTTGGCATTCGAGGTAGAGATGAATCACCAAAAGTGTGAATTTCAGCCCACACTCATTACTTATTTCGAGCTACCTAATGTCTCATAACGCAGAAAATAAAGATGAAAAATTTGATAATTCCATCGGCTTTGGTGGTCATTAGGTACTTTAGGTACATTAGGTACTTTGAAAATAAAGGCCTCAGTTAAAAAAACGTATATTGCAGTTTGGTAAATCGGCAACCATCATATCATTGTCCAACCATTTTCATTGAAATGGTAATCAGATGAACTAGTTTCTACATTGCAACCTACCTCTCCGTCTAAAGTTAAGATCAACCTCAAACATCCATGAGCTGCAGGATGTGCTGGTCCGAAATTCAAAACCATATTCTGAACCTTCATCTCTTTATAGCGCTGGGGCTTCGCTCCCCTCCAAAGGTAAATTTTCCATTTAGAGGTAACCTCGTTGGGGTACATAACTGGTCCATCAAATTGGGAAAACCACTCTGAATCCGGGTACCATGCTTTCGCGGTCCTAATCGAAGTCAATGGCAAAAAAGTGTGTCTTCGAATCTGGAAGTACTTCAGCTTTGACAAAATCATCATTCTGACAGTTTGTTTGACATTCACTTTATTTGTTCTGTGAAACACTGAACATCATAATGCACCGCTCTCCAAAGTACTTATTTACATCAATGATTCATTATATATGCAAACTGAAGAGAAAATTCAATCTTTTGCAGATGATACGGTGATTTCATATACCGCTAATAGCTGGTATAAATTGAAAGTAACTGTGGGCGCCTCCTCGTCGTAGCATCACCTTGTCACGGTAATGCGGGGCTCTGCCGTGATTTTCCTTCTTTCCCTAGCTACTCGTGGGACTTTCATGGACAGAGTAAACTTGAAAATTCTTTCTGACGCTGAGTCTACAGAGGAGATGGATGTCGAGCTTACGACTCCAAATGTCCTCCCTGTAAATTTAGATCAGGAGCGAGAGCTTCTCAACTCTCCAACTCCTGATCCAATAACTAAACCTAAACAAGAGGTTTGGTGGTGCAGCCAGGAAACGACCGAGTCGTCTCCTCAAAAGCGGGGTACCTTATGAAACCGCCTTGCACCAAATTCTTGAACGGCGTACACATCATCTGTCTCAGATGGAGGAACAAACCCCCATGAGCAGGTTAGCAAACGTTTGCGCTCAAGTGATGATTCACCAAAACCAGAGGCTAAAAAGCCCTGTACGGTTGAATCTAAGGCATCGTCAGGTGTAGCTGACGTGCAAAAATCCTCATATAGGGAGGTTGTCGCGGGTATCAAGGTGGAAATCTTGCATCATGACTATCCGACTACCTTATTAACGATGAAACAGCAGAGCATATATTTTGTGCTTGCCCCGTTGGGGACCGATTCAGGTTTTTAGGGTTCGGCAAGCCGTACTCTTACCATCTGACCTGATAGACCACTCACCATACAAACTAATCGGCTTCGTTGAGAATCTGGGTTTATTTGGTCGAGTGTGAATAGGTGTGAGCCACAATAAACCCTTGCGGGTTGCGGTGGAGAGTCGAATAGACCCACTCACTTTGGACCTAACCTAACCTAACCTATTCTATGGACCATGTATCAATAGTTATGTTATAAGAAGAGTACAAAAGGTTCAAAATTCTTGTTCGAGAATGATATATGGAACACGGCGCCCTATGCGTATTTCACAAAAATTAAAGGATGATGGATGGTCTAGTACGTTTAATCGTTCAAAGCATAGATATAATTGTTNAGCATCATTTCGCATGTTTTTTTACAATATTTTGAAAGATAAAATTCCTTAATATTTATATCAAAAAGTTGGATTTAGAACTGATGTGCATCATTTGAACTTGTGACGGAGCAAAATGTTAACTATACTCATGTATGACAAACAAGTATTCAAGTATAGCCACTTTGAGCGATGTGCTGGATGTATATAACTTTTCGTTGTCGCATGATTCATATACGTTTGGGTATAAACGATTCTGTACCATTTGATTATGATTATTAAATTCTACTTATCAACCATAGGTGGAGAACAAAATATTTCATTGAATTCGAAAATGTACAGTTTACTTTTCTTATCGTGTGCAAAGGCATGTATTTATTGGCTTCTCAAGGTGACTGTGGAAGAATTGGCTGCAGAGTCTAACGGTTCTCCTATTTTTGCCTTCATTAGATATTTTTCTATTGAAAAATTATTTTGTATTATTTTATATTTCGGTAAATAATAAATGTATTATTATTATTATTAATCACTGAATGTTGCGCAATATAATACGATGACGTCATTATCCAATAAGTTCATATAACTTTGGTCTATGAAATTCTGTTTTGCCTTATTGCATTCAACTCGCAAATTTGAAATGCAGCAAGTCTTTTTTTCAAGAGAGTAAACGAAATTATGCATTATTCCGCGAATTTCCCAAACTTTTAGGCGGAAATTCGAATGGTATCGCTGCTGCATAGCGTCCTGAGGAATCCACACTGAAAGAACTAGTATGAGTATCTTCACAATCTATATCTTCCGGGTTCATAACAAAACCTTCATCTACTTCATCAATTTCCCAAAACTCACGAAAAAGTTAATGAATCGAATATTCCTCCTGAACGGAGAAAAATATTAAATAAGTTGAACATACTCTTCGAACTAAAGTTGTTTTTACCGCTACCGGAGTAGGTGTACCCGCTACCCCCGTAATCCGACCTATTAGCAAACATTTCCCCTACCACAATCTCATTAATTTCCGCAGGTTAGTCGAAATTATTATCCGCTAATTCCGCCCCTGGTAACGCGGGATATGCGTTTATAGTCCGTTCATAATTTGTTGATAGCTCACTGCAAATAAAAAATGTACTAAACCAAAAATTATTTTCGTTCGTAACAACTTCACCCTTTCAAGGCAAGTTTCGAATATAAACTGAAGCTTTATATTTAATGAATAAACACCCCAAGAACCTCCGCCTATGATTTTACGAGTTTTACGACCGTTTTATGACTTGGGCCCTCATTTTGTGCTATCGACAAATTATGAACGGACTATAGATATATCAATTTAAAATTTTGCTAATTTGTTGGTGATTCTACCGAGCCTAATGCCATAACTGTATATTTTTTTTCTGAGTTAAACCATGAAGCAACTGTTAAAACGGCACTTTCCTTAACTTCCTGAAGAGCACCTCCCAAATCGTATTCAGAAGATTATACCGAAATCTTCAATTCAAACCTTCTATAACACAAGATTGTGAGAAAATTGGTTTCACTGCCTGAATCTAAAATGAATCTAGCTGTAGCATTTTCATTAAGCTTGTTTCCTCGGAAACCACCCTTCAAAGATAACACATTAGGTTCTGAACATATATGTACATCAACCGCTGATGTATTATTACTAACCGTTTCCTCCTTCCCACCATTTGATGCTGAGGCGACATCCCCGTTCGATGCACTAACTGAATTTGTTTTTCTCGAATATAACAAAATGTGATGTATTTTGGAACACACTGTACTCAACCGTTCGTTAGGATAATTACTTACACTGTGGTTATTTGACAAACAATGATTGTAGCACCAGCCATTGTCTCTAACAGATTCATATCTGTGTCCCAGTGACAAAGATTTGAATTTATCACATCTACCCAAGTAATGACAAAAAAACGTAAGTCACTCCATTCTTTTTCCGTTGATGCACCAAAAAAATTGATTGTCTTCATTAGTTTATAATTATCATTTGACACCGATAGTGTTTTATTCCGATGTAAAGTTTTTGTCTGATTCTATATGAACTTCATTAAATCTTCATGAGTTGGAATTTTCGAACTATCTTGTTTCATTCCAGAAGCCTAAGCGCTTTTTCACACGGGGAGCTTCACGTCTCTCGCTCCCGAGAGAGAGAAAGCCTCTTAGCGCCAAAATGCAACAAGTCCAATGAAGCTTTCGGACGAAGAGCGGGAGCCGCCACGTCTCCTGCACCTTGAGCCGGGTAGCCGCGTCTCCTCATCAAAATGCAAAAGGATTAGTGGGGGCTTCCCCACGAGGAGTGAAAACGGCTCTCCCTTGTTGATGCTTCACATATCCCGAAGCCAAAGAAGAACCGCTTATTTCCGGATAGCCATAATCCAATAAGCTTGAACCCTTCCATAAGCAAA